TGCATGTATATCTTGGAATAAATCTTTTTGCTCATAAAAAAAAAAAGGGTATGTATGAAAATTGAAAAATTAAGAATTTTGTTTTAAGAGAATTGTATTTCATTCCATGTTCAAATCCAATTAAAAGTTAGTCTTAGGTTATGTTCGGCAACAATTTTTTAAGTAGCTAGTCAATAACATAGCGTTTGAACTAGCTTTTAGAGTTTAAGTTAACATTTTGTGAAAATTTAACTCGTGCAACATTTAGCTTTTAGCGTTTCATGAAAAGCTACTGAAATAGCTAATAGCTAAACGCTACTAAAACAGTTAGCAATTATAAAAATAGTTAATTTTGTCAAACCGACCCTTATTCTTTTATGTTATGCAGTTGGGGTTAGAGAGGAGAAGAAGATTGAAACATATTGGATATATACACTTAATTCTTTAAAAAGAAATGGAAGACAAGAAGCTTTGAAAAGCAAAAAGAATATCCTTCAGGAGTTCTCCTTCTATTTTTAAAACATTATAGTGTGAGTGTGTATGCTTCTTTTAAGATTAGTTGAGCTTAAACCTCTCGTACATTATTGTCTAAAGAAGAGGATTATGAATTTGAAAAACCCATAAATTAATTTAAGATGGCCTTCTTGTCTGAAAGATCACTCTTTGTTTTCATGCTTAAGTGGCCAACAAAGGACACAAGACTTAGCAAAGCCATTACTAATGGTGGGATTAATGGCTGCCAATTAGGTCGATCTCATGCACAACCCTTTGTTAATACGTCCACCTGTGTTTTCCAAGAGTCGTCCATATCATATATAGCTATCCTTGTCATCATTCTATAAATGTTCCCACCAATCATATCTAGAGTATATACAGGATTTGTTGAATAAAATTAATTGTTTTGGTAGCTATTCGTTGTTTTAGTAGTTGTTAACTGTTAGCTGTTAGAGTAATTTTTTATAAAACGTTATCTTGACATGTAAAAGCTAGTTCAAACGCTATATTACCGAACACTATACAAAATAGCGTTTAATCAAAACAATAAAAGCTACTTAAAATGTTATTGTCGATAGCCATAAAATTTTATGAGAAATTGAAGAGCGATATCCGTCTAATGTATAGTTTATTTCAATTTTCCACATACCAGAAGAAAATAAAATATTAAAAAACACAAATTGTATTGGTTATCTTGTGTGATGCACAAAAATTCTTAGTCATGTATGTATTTGTATGTACATTTTTCCGTATAATTAAATATCATTCCCTCGTATAAAATTATATTTAAAAATTTTCATTTTCGCATATAGTTTTCTTATTAAAAGAGAGAATAATAAAGCGTGGTGGATTGCAGGAAATGTTTACTAGTTTGGCTTGTTAATTGGTCAAGGCATATTAATTAGGGTTTTGTTGTTATTACGTAGATTGGTCTCTTTCGAGCATCAAATCAATTGGGCAGCTTAAAAGCCGTATTCAGACACAATAAGCGTACATTAAGATAATCTTGTAGGGCATTGACTAGCAACCAAACAAATTTGTATATATATATAACTATTTCTTTTGTTAGGTTCAACAAGAAATATGCAGGAAAAAGTTATCCAATTGTTAGAATAAATTACAGAGTAATTTTTAAGTGTTATAAGGTGTACTTGTTTTCTTTTTTTCTTTTTTTTTTTTTTTTTTTTTTTTTTTTTTTAATAATTTAAATATCATTCCCTCGTATAAAATTATATTTAAAAATTTTTCATTTTCCGCATATAGTTTTCTTATTAAAGAGAGAATAATAAAAGCGTGTGGGATTGCAGGAAATGTTTACTAGTTTGGGCTTGTTATGGTCAAGGCATATTAATTAGGTTTTGTTGTTTATTACGTAGATTGGGTCGCTCTTTCGAGCATCAAATCATTGGGCAGCTTAAAAGCGTATCTTCAGACCACATAAGCGTACTTAAAGATAATCTGTAGGGCATTGACTAGCAACCAAAGACAATTTGTATATATATATAACTATTTTCTTTTGTTAGGTTCAACCAAGAAATATGCAGGAAAAGTTATACAATTTGTTAGAAATAAATTACAGGAGTAATTTCTAAGTGTTATAAGGTGTACTTGGGTTTTCTTTTTTTTTTTTTTTTTTTTTTTTTTTTTTTTTTTGAAAATTATAAGGTCTACTTGTTATTAAAAAGTAAAAAAATTTAATGCTGGTAGTAATATCACTCGATGGTTAAATTTTTTTATAAAATAAAAAAAAATTTAGTCATACTTTTTAAAAATTTAAATAGCATCATCATCATATATGTTATTAATTACTGTATTAAACATCAAATATTATACAATGTTAAATTTAAATTAATAAACTAATTAATAAGCTTTGGTTCGGTGATATTGGAATTATTTTCAAAGTTTTGGTCCTGAATTTCAATCAACATTGACAAAAAAATTTTTCTCAATAAAATATTACTCTCTCGGTCCCATTTTGTTTGCTTATTATTCCTTTTTTGGATGTCTCAAAATATTTGTAAGGTTTGTAAAGTTAGACATGTAAACAATTATTTTTTTCCATAATAACCTTTATAATTATTCATTGAATGAAGGGCTTTTAGTATCTTAACGAGCTATTAAGGGTAAAGAAAAGTAAAATAACTTTTGTTGACTAAATTCTTAATATGCGCGTTTTATTAAAACATGCAAATAAAATAGACGAAAGGAGTAATATTTATTAAATTAAATATTTAGAATGGCATAATAAAAATTTTTTTTTTCATATTGTATTAAACTTACCTTTCTAACCATGACAAGAAATTCACAAATGAGAAAAACCATTATTTATGATAATTTCAAGAACCAAACCTTCATCAATGAATAAGAAAAACACCTAACTAATAAAATTAAGAGTAATTTTTCCAACCATTATTGGACATGTGTATATATATTGGAAAAAACACTAAATATATAAATAAATAAATAATTTTATAACTTCTTTAATTGGAATGTTAGCTATAACAATGGGATAATTAATTACTTGAGAGAGAGAGAGGTAATTAATTAAAGGTTAATTAAGTTGGGGTGTCATGATTAGGATTGAAATGTGGGGCCTAAGTGCACATTTGGGAAAGGTCTACATGTTGGTGCCTATGTGTGACAAAAGGAAGTGATTGAAAATGATTAATGATTATAAGTAAGATTAATTAATGATAATTGCTAGACAAGTTGTGACCTTCAAGGCTTTAAATTAATAAATCAAAAACCAGAAAGTAGAGAAGAAAGAAAGACTTATTTCTTTTTCTTCTCTCTCAACTCAAAATGCAATTGCTAGCTATTACTTATAGTCAAGTGTTCTATTCTAGTGTCACTATCTTTTGTTTCTTTCATTTTTGGAATATGCTTGCTTTTTTCTGCTTCCCCTTTCTGTTTTCTTCCTTTATGGTCTGGTTATCTGTCCGTAATCACTCTTAAGAATCCCTTATCACAATCCCCCCAATACATGATGGACCTAATTTCTGAGATCTTCAACTGATGATCTGTCATAAACTTAATGTTTATGTTCTTCCCCATTGATCATTTCTTTTTCTTATAAAATATTAAAACTCTTTATTGGAACCATAATATTCTCCAATTTAATATATAAATGCCCCAATTATCAGCTTTCAAATTAATTTGAATACATATAGTAATTACTTCTAGTGATTTTGAATAATATAATGATATACAATAGAGTCATATAATTACATGAAAATTCACGAATCGTATAATAATTTAATTTTAATAGCAATTTATCTGATATTATTTTGATGCAATTAAGAATGTAAATGAGCCGAGCCAATTTTCGAGCTGTTTGAAAATTTTAGTTGGAATCGAGTTCGAGTCTAACAATATTCAATTCGAAGACTTATCGAGTCTTATTGAGCCATATCAAACTTTTATATGTACATATTTATAATATTAATTTTAAACTTATTCGAATATCAAGCCTCAAGTCGAGCTGGAGTTTAAAATTTGAGCTCAGGTCAGCTCGTTTAAAACTGGAAATGCAACAAAGGACATGATAAAGGCAGCATTAATTAGGAAGTTTGATTACATAGAATATAATTAAGTGCCTGGCTAAAACTAAAGAAGTGTCAGCTTTACAGAGGATTTAGTTAAGTTGATATTGGAACATGACCTGTTAACTCAATCAATCTAATAAAAACGGTATCTGATTTAATTAAGGTCCAAACATATTCAGCTACCTCTACCTTATTTCATCTGTCAATACTCAATAGGATTTCCCACTTTTAATTTGACATTATCAATATTTACACATGCTCGGATATTTCCAAACTCATTATTAAAACTTAAAAGTGTTCTTCACATGTTAGGAACCTTCAGTTGCACTGACAATCCTTAATTTCTACAATAATTAATTAACTTCATCAAAAATGTTTCTCTCCTTAATTATTTTTTATATTTTTATTCTTTTTTTTTTTTTTTTTTTATTTATATTTTATTCTTTTTTTTTTTTTTTGTCCTTAATGTCTTCTTTTTTTTTTTTTTTTTTTTTTTTTTTTTTTTTGTCCTTAATGTCTCTTTTCTACCCTACTATAGGGTAAACCTTGATTAGTGCAATTGATAAGATATTATACTATAGGGTAAACCTTGATTAGTGAATCTAAATTTTTACTTTACTCTTATAATCATCTGTTTTACATGTATTAAAGTAGAAAACGTAGTTGTAGTTATCAAATATTAATCAAGCTATAATAAATCCAATCATGAAGCAAATAGAAATGGGTTTGGTTTATGCTAGGTGTTTTGTCGTTTAAGGATGTTAAAAGGAATCTCATTTTGAGGGTATAAATAAAAATTAATTAAGATGGAAGATAGTTTTTTATTTGTGCAAGGAATAAATAATACGAAATATGTAGCCCAATAAGGGAACCAGTTGTAATTAATTATTCATTATAATATTATCCACCTCCCTCCTCCTCAAGTGTTTATAAGCATGGTGATAATGCTTCTACAGAGCTGAGAAGCCAAAAAACCAAAAATAAAAAGAATTATATAAAAAAAATTTTAAGTTCATCGAGATTTAACATTCAAGATTATTCAAAAATGACTGGTTCTGGTTCTCCATGCGGTGCTTGCAAATTCTTGAGAAGAAAATGCGTTAGAGGTTGTGTTTTTGCTCCTTATTTTTGCCATGAACAAGGTGCTACACATTTTGCAGCCATTCATAAGGTTTTTGGTGCAAGTAATGTCTCAAAGTTGCTTGCTCATCTTCCTGTTAGTGATAGATGTGAAGCTGCTGTTACAATTTCTTATGAAGCTCAAGCTAGGCTTCAAGATCCCATTTATGGCTGTGTTTCACATATTTTTGCTCTTCAACAGCAGGTTTGTTTATCCCCTTTTTAAATTCTTTTCAATTGTAACTGATTTTACGAAACCCTAATTTTTAAATTTGACTCTTTCTTGTTCAGTTCAATTTAAAACCTTTAAAACCTTAGAACTCTAATTCTTCTTTACTCAATAAAATTTTCTTTTTCTTGTAGGTTATGACTCTACAAGCACAACTTGCTTGTCTTAAAGAACAAGCAGCTCAAACCGTGCTTAACGGCTCTGCAACAGCAAACCCTAATAATGCACAAGATCTTCAAAGCTGGTTTCAGTCAGAGAATTCATCAAACATGTTGCCACAATTAATCAATCCAAGTAGTTTCAATGGAAGTACTACACAATATTGTGAAAATGGGTTGGTGGATCCATTTTCTATGGGAAATTATGGGAATTCTTCAACAACTAGTACCTCATTTGATAGCTTTGAAGAGGCTTCTTCCTTTGACAACATGCAAAAAACAGAAAATTACAGGCAATGGAGTTATCAAGATTCTGATGATCTTCGGTCCGTCGCCTTTGGCTATATTCAGTGATAGATAAAGAGAGTGAGGCCTTTGTGTGGGAGGTGATGAAGACAGATTTTTTACTGTCAAATTTTTGAATTACTAGTAGTTAGTTGTTGTTGCATACTTTGAAACATGCACTTTTGTTGCTATAAATAAAAGAAAAAAAATGCTAGGAACCCTAGAAATTATGTTTCAAGCGAATCAGAAACCCTAAATTCCACCCCTCTCTCCCCATATTATCTTTTTCTTTAATTTGATTAATCTAGTACAATCTTGAATATTTTGTAGAATAATAGTATTTATTCTCTTAGGAAATCTAGTCTTATGTTTTTAGTTAATTCAATTCAATTCCCTTTTATTTAATATGGACCTACTTAACATTAATAACCTAAATTTTTGACCTAAAATGGACAGTTAACTAGGCTGCTTATTTTTCATTCCTTCTCCATACTTTTATATTATGAACCAGTAAGTTTCACTCTAGCAGAAAATTATCTGATATCTTCTTAATTAATTATTGGATACTTACTTAATATTTATTTTTAATTTCTGGATGAAGAATTAAAGTAATTCCTCAGTAAATATTCATAATTTCACAAGGTAATAGAGATATGCTGATATGTGTATATAATTAAGAATGAAAACTTGGTTTTTGCTTAAGAAAATGTGTCATTAAGACACTTGTAGCTTCTCAACTGAAAAACTGACCTCTCTAACTAAATAACTAATTACCTAATCCTCAAAATGAATATAAAGATTTGGAGCATAACTCCAGCTTTTGTTGAGGTATTCTTGTTGGCTAATTATCAAACATGAATGACAGAAGCTAGAATACAATTTAATCCCCTTAAAATAACAGATAAACTACCCGAATTTGCCTCGAATGGAGAGAATGTATGCCTCATTTTCATAAGATCACACGTATATGTGTGTGTGTGTGTATATATATATGAGAAGGAATGTATCCTCATTTTCATAAAGAAATCACACCGTATATGTTTGTGTGTGTGTGTATATATATATATATATATATATTATATAAGATCCCACAGGAAAATTTCTTTAAACAGAAATCCCCTACCACAGCATGTCATTGGAGTTACTGTGTGTGTGTGTATATATATATATATATATATATATATAAGATCCCAAGAAAATTTTTAAAGAATCCCCTACCACAGCATGTCATTGGAGTTACACATAATCTTGCATATTCATTCATAATTTGTTGATTTGTTTTGCATTCTGTTTTATTTCCTAGAATTATTTGATGATTGCTTGAAAAATATATTTACAATTTGAATGCACATTGTTCAAAAAGATAAAGAATTTATTTCTCTCATCTCTTAGGGTATCAGATTATGAAAATTTCTCTGCATATTATTAATTAACAATTTCAATTGCTCGATCTTCGAAATAAGAGCAATGATATAAGCTTTGTTAAATGTGATTCTTGGGATGCCTTTGAATGAATTTAAAAGCTGCTAATTCTTTGTTTAAAGATTTCCATACATTAATATATATGTATGTATGCTTCCATTGGAACTTGCTCTGTGTTATTGTTTATTGTTTAGTGCAAATATTACATATACTAATTTAGCTCCTATTCACACTTAAACCCTTTCTTGCAACATCTTCTTTTGTATTGTTCATATATAATTCTTTTTTGTGATGATACAATTTGGTGTGTAGCATATAGAGATTGTTTTAGATAATAAAACAAAAAAGAAATTAAGAACCATATATGATATATAACTATTCAACAATAACCTCTAAAGTGTTTTATTATTTATTATTTTATTTTATTTCAGGTAAACTTTCTTTTTCCAAGATTATGAGAAGTTTTTTTTTTTTTTTTTTTTTGAAAGTATGATTATGAGAAGTTTTGGTGAGTGGACTTTGAAGGTTATGGATGAGATGATAGTTTCTTTTTTTTTAAAAAAAAAAAAAAGTCAATTGGAAGATCTTTTGATGGATGAAATGCAGAAATTAATGCATATTTTCTTGATATTGCATGTCTTACTAGTAGTGATTTGAAAATGCATGATTAGAATTTGTTGATTCTTGATGCTAAATGATGGAAATGAATTAATTTAAACTATTTCTCGTTCAATGAATGAGAGCACATAGCATAAGGATATGTTCTTTATCATATTATACACAGATTTCCATTTTAAGAAAGTCTTTTGATTCTTTTATCAAGTCAAGTTTGGATTCTATATTTCATCCATCAAAAGAATGGCAAAAACGTCTGGTTGCCTTAGACACCAAAAGAGAAACTCCTCTCTCTTTTTTGTTGGTCAGAAAATCAAGAATTTGCCTTTAAAGAATAATTCTAGTTGTTAAAATTTGAACTTGTTTTTTAATTTTGAATTACCTCTTGGAATGAAAGCTGAATATTTATACAAAAAGAAAGGTTATCTTCTATTTTATATTCCAGGCCATCCTGGACTGTGAGAACCAATATGAAATAGACTTTTCTTTTATATCTCCTCTTTCTATCAACTGCATAGCCAAGCTGTTACATAGGGTTGATTTTTTGCTCTATTCATAACCAAAATTCTTATTGAAATGAATTTTTTCTTCAATTTTGCAGCTCAATTTTATAGTTCTGACAATGTTAATAAGTGGATTTCAATATCCCTTGCCATTTCAAGAACAGGGCATGGACCAGAAAAACAGAATTGTGGCCCTCCCCATTTATTATTATTAACCCAAATTCAGCCCGTTCTCAATAGTCATGAACACTATGAGCGTCATTAACAATAGGATTTGTTAATGAGCAGCCCAACTCCCAGGCACGGGAGGCTTATTCTAATCCATTCATCTTAAACCCTTTATTATATTTCACATAACTTTATCCAATCAAATTGAAAGTTTCAAGTTCCAATCACTATATTTTTTATTTTAATTGATCAAAAGGGTATATGTAGTCTAAAGCTCAAGATCAACAAGAAACAACAATCATTTCTTCATGTATAAATAGTTCTCCATGAAAATATTAGGTAAGTATCTATATATTTACCATTAAAAGATCAAGATAATGTCTGTCTATCTGTTTTGAGATTTGCAGAGTTCCCATAGCTACAGTTTTAGCACCTTCCATTGCAACTTCCATGTCTTTGAAATGAACTATGAATTCTCTACTGGTGATGCTTTTCTTCAGTGTTTCAATCTACGTCCAGATTCAAAAACTCCATAACCCAGGTAGCAAAAATTGCGGTACGTTATCAGCTGGTTAGACTAAGAAATTCCCAACTATCACCCCTAATAATCATATAAGTGGTTGTCTTGCATGAAAAGAGTGCAGTAACTATATTGATACCTCTATCATCCACCATTTAAACTATGGTGATTGAGATTCTATTTCACAACATTACAAAATGTACATGATAGTATATTTGTATAACCAAAATCAGACATGGTATATCATTCCTACCTCTAGTGTAGAAGCATGTGGTACACTTAGGACATAGACGGGCGACCTGCTGTTCCTTCTTAGGAACTCGTATCCATAATTAATTACAAACTTCTTTAGCATACTAGATCCTTGTTTGGCTCTCATATATGAATGGCCTAGTATGTAAGCAATCCCAGCTTCTCTAGCTTCATTGAGTTCACGCAACTCCTCTCTTGCATCTCTATCGATGTTCAGGCTTTCTGGGATGACGAATCTCACTCTTTTTCTAGGGTGGATCACCTGTGGTGATCTTATCTCTCTCAACTCTGATGTGCTTGCTGACTCCATAATATCAGCACCAGCATCCTCCTCACTTAATTGGATTCCATCTGCATGCGTAGAGCATGTCCCCACTACGGTCATTTTATTATCCTCCTTTCCTACATCATCATTTGCGCCATTGGTTTCCGTACTTCCTGAGCGTATGTACTCCGCTATACTACATACAAGATCCTTCTCAAACTCCATATCATCCTTGTGGAAATCACGATATCCATAACGTACAATGCACCTATAGAGCCTGTATTCTCTAGGACCAATACGACCTACTAGAAACCGCTCCTCAGGCCTAACATGTGGAACTGGCACAGATTTAATGCAGAGAAAGACTAGAACTTGATGGAATGCCGGAAGGTTGGTGACAAAGTGGGAGAAGATTGCCGGGATTCCAGACACAAGCTCAGTGTGTATGAGGCCAATTCCCTGAACACGTACAATACCGAGGCTGGGACCTAAGCCTAGTAGCCAGTTAATAGAAACCTTGTTTTGGACATCAAATTCGTACTTTTTGAGAGTTCCATAGTGCCAGACACACATAATAAACAGGAAGATTAATGCGAGGGCAATCGGGACCCAGGCCCCTTCTAGGAACTTTATGAGGGAAGCAGTGAAGTAGAGAGCTTCAATTATACCAAAGAACAATACGAAGCAAATTGCAAGAAAAACACTCTTTTGCCAACACAAGACAATTACCAGAGACATTAGGCAGGTGGTAACCAGCATAACAGTTATCACTGCCAAACCTGTTCCAAAAAGAAACTTGTTAAAGAACATTCATAAAAATCCAGAAAAAAAAAATATCAATTTTTTATTTTGATTCATATTGAAATATCAGTGGCTCATTTCAATAGAGAGATCTGTTTCAAGAATAATTAAAGGAGATTTCAGAAGTCCTCTATCATAATGGTTCTACATTTAAGGATTCAATCTTTTAAGATCCTCAGCTTTTGATAAAATTCAACAATTTCCTTGAATCCAATTAGCTGTCTGTCAAGTAGCTTCAATTTTTTAGAGTTCCAATTTTAGGGCTGCAACAACAGTCCAGGTCTACACTCTTGGGCATAGAATAATTTTATCTTTTGGCATGGCCTTCATGTTGTGGTCCAACAATTATGGGATATCTTATCAATTTAATAACTTAAAGCATGGATACATTAGGGCAGTCTGCCATACCACATAACAAAACATGTTATAAATAATAAACTGGTGGAATACAGCCACAATAATAAAATATAAGTTGATTGACATACTTAATTCATTATGTTGACAATATTCACAGATTCTACAGAAATATCATCAAATATAATTATCTTATATCATTAAGATTCTATCATGGACAACCTCATATAAAAACCTGTATCCTGATCCTTTTAACATGCTTCACACTAGTCCTAAAGTCTAACTTACTGCAGAAATAATATCAACAAAGCATCTCCAGAAACAATAAATATTGATATTATATTGCTACATTTATCATAAGATGCAACAGAATTGAGATATTTCTGTCATCATACCTGAGGCATTGCCTAACCGTTTGGTGTCTCTGAATCCAATGGTGACAGCCAAGCATAATAGCATCAATGTCCAGTTGATCTCTGGGATATATATCTGACCGTGGATTTTGGATGATGTGTGGACAATTTTTACTCTAGGGAAACAACCCAAGGCAGAGCATTGTTTGATGATTGAGAAAGTTCCTGTGATAATAGCTTGACTTCCCACTACTGCAGCAAGTATAGCTATGACAAGAACTGGCCATCTTAATTTATCTGCAAAAATAATGTGGAAACTTCAGTTAGTTGAATCCTTCCCACAATTCGTCATCCAACATCAACAAAAACAGCTCAAAGGGACATACCTGGTACAGATACATAAAATCCAATTCGATAATCATTACCATCAAAATGATGCTTTGATAGATAGGCAGCTTGCCCCATATATGCAAGTACCAAGGAAGGATATACCAAAGAAGTGAAAGCAATCTGGAGAAATGTGAATGCGCATTAAACAGTCGTTACTTTCAAAACGATACTGGGCTGAAGAATACTATGGACGCTTTCGGCCATTACAAGTAAGCAGAAAGGGGGAAACTGCGTATAGAACTGTAAATGATTTACTCTTTGAAGACCCATCTTTACACCCTAAAAGGATATGATATCATAATTACATGGTTTAATTGGCTTATTCTTAAAGTACATACCTTGATTGACAGTTGAGAAAAGTGTCCCAGATCAGCAAACATAGCTTCTGAGCCTGAAAATCAAAAGGCTAATTATGATTAAAAGATCATGCACAACATGTTGCTTGTAAACAGCCCACCGACGGAGTTAATCAATACTTGCCTGTTATGCACAACAATATCCCGCCCAAGGACATCCAACCTCCTCTTTGAGTTTTCCTCAAAAACTTGTACATATAATATGGTGATAATGCTTGATACACATGAGGATTCCAGTGTATAATATTATATACTCCAATAGCACTGATGCACAAGAGCCATGTTAGAACCACTGGTGCAAACAAGAAACCGACCCTGTGGGTGCCATAATGTTGAAGGGCAAATAATCCTATCAGTATAATGCATGCAACTGGAACTTCTACATCTGCAAAGTTATTGAATTTGCAGGAGAAAATGTCACTTTAAAAGACATTTCATTTACAGTATAGAACAGAGAAAAACCATTGAATTTAATATGCTGACAAGGGAATAAGATAAACAAGGAGGCTAGCATTAGCAGCAACAGCAATAAAAGCAATATGGATAACCATCTCTGATGATATTAGCCAACGAATAAACTAATAAACAACTGCATTTTTCAAGCAAACTCTTGAACCTTGAAATTATTACCTAGTGAATCATGGAAAGGATTTTCAATAACTAAGCACTTGCATGAATAACTTACGATTATTCTGCTATGTTTTACTTTGACAAAAATAATAGGCCATTATTCCTGCTATAAAAGTTCTCAAGTTATCTGATTTATCTCGTGACTAAAGGAGCTATATCCAACAGCAATATTAGGACTAAAAATTTAACTATATAATTTCATGATCATTTTTTTGTCCTCCCTTAAATCCTTGCGTGAAAAAGAAAGAAAACAGCTTCAAATATGTCTTCATACATTTAATTAATGGAACTTATGTCCCACACTCTCTGACCCTTCATACAAGCCTGACTAGTTCAACTGCCTATGTCCCACCCCTCACCAAACCCATCATCCACTCGTACAGATGACCTACAAGCCATTACATAAATCAACCAACTTGTGCTCACCTAAGAGTTGAAACCTGTAAGGTAACACAAGCCTCCAGTATTCAAAGTAGAAAGAAGCATTGTCTAGATGATTCTGAAAAGAGATGACACAATTTTGCACAACTTGGCAAAGCTAAAATCACGAGTTTATAATTATATTACACAATTATGAGGCTGATGAAAGTTCAACGAGTTCAAATGAGACTTAAATTGCTTTGAGCGGGCATTGAAATCCAACAATTGCAACAAGAAGGGATTTTGGTTAGAAATGATTTTCCAGAAGAAAGAAAAAAAACTTAAAAACTAAAGCACAAGCCTTACCGTAGGAAATAGTTAACCACAATCAATCTATAGTCATGAATATATTCAGTACTACAAAAACTGAAGTACAATAAAAAAAATTAAAGAAACAGAAAGGAAGAAAATATTACATTTGTGTTGCTCTTTTGACATCGAAAACTCAAGACCAGACACCGCAGAAAATACTGCACAGAGTCACCCCAAAACCAAACGATCAAGCCAATTAGTCAGAAGAAGATAAAAAAATATGAAAAATTGATGACGAACCAACAAACCAATAAAACTATGATTACCAGAAATAGCAGGGGTTAAGACACCATCACCAATCACCATACAGGTCCCAATCAAAGCCAACACGAGCAAAAACCTCTGCAACACCCTGTGTTTCTCCAAAGTAGATTTCAATCTTGCCCCAATAGTTGAATTTGGTGTAGAAGCAATATTATCTTTCTTGTACTCGTATAATTCCTCATCTGCCACCTGGCAACTGGGCAGTGAGTTGACTCGGGCGTGTCGACAGAGCAATGAATACAAAGCAAAAGTCCCTCCTTCACCATTATCATCAGCTCTTAACACTATAAACACATACTTTAACAAAGGGACCAACGTGAGAGTCCAAAACACAAAAGATAAAACCCCAAATATCTCTTCGTTTGTCTCTGAGTGTTCAATATCGTCAGCGAAGGTGCTCTTATAGACATATAATGGAGAAGTACTTAAATCTCCATAGACAACTCCTAGACTTTGATAAGCCAAAGTTAATACAGCCTTCCACGAATCTCCCTGCACAAAAAGCATCAATTTTTTCATTAAACTGAAAAAATGGGATTAAAAATTTAAAATTTAAAATTGAAGCATGATGAATTGATATAAAACTAAAATGGGCTTCTTGAAAACAGATGAATTAAACATTTACTTTTCAGAAAAGGGAAAGAAAATTTGGCAAGTAAACTGAGATGGATTTACTCTTAAAAACGAACATAATAATCAATGCATGATATTTGAATAATACCCATCTCACCTTTAAACGGTTTTGATAAATCCCAGTTTCCAGATCCATAATATGATTCTTCAAAAGATAGAAAAATCCATATTTTGCAGAGAATTAAGAAATTTAACAATAACCCATTTGCCAAAAACCGCCCTCCACCAGTAAAGACTTGTTTAAAAATCACACAAAGATACACAGTACACTAAAAAATAAAGATTGCTCCTTTTTGTGGAGCAACAAAGTATAAAAGAGAAGAGATAAAGGTTGCTCCTTTTTGTGTCTTTCTCTTATTTACACAGCAGTTGAACGACCACGAATGTAGACAGATGAAGAACAAGCACGAAATACTAAAAAAGCCAAGCCAAGTAAGATAATATGATGGGTACACAAATTTGGAATCAAAGAACCCGAAGGACTAGAATAAGAATATTTTGCGTGCGTTTCTTGAGAAGAGAGTGAATTCTAGAGAGAGAAAGATAATATAAAAAGAAATTAAAGAGTGCGTGTATATGTGAGTTTTGTTTTGTTTCGTAGTTGGTAAGAAGGTTTTTGTTTCTGGGTTTTTTTTTGTATTTTAGTGAGTTTCTCTAATGGAGGAAAGAGGGAAGCAAAGTGGCAACCAACGTGCACTGCAATTGAGCAGGCAAAATCGGTACTTTGGCATCTAATGCTGCTTTCTTTTTTTTTTTTTTTTTTTTTTTTTTTTTTTTTTAATTTTCTCGTAATTCTTAGTTGGCAGGAAAAGGATTTTGGTAATTTATACTCGTTTTTTTTTTTTTTTTTTAATTTTCTCTATTCTTAGTTGCAGGAAAAGGATTTTGGTATTATGACTCGGATTATCATTGAACGAGTTGACTCGATGAAAATTTGAAAATTTATTACAACTTTTATAAGAGAAAAAAAAAAGCTGAAAATAAACATACAAAAAAATAAAAGGAAAATTAGACTTTTCATTATGGAGTAATTATATAGCGCAGCAGTGATAACATGTTAGCAAGTCCAACTCATTCATAGTGATGAGTTGGCACCACACCGGCGAACAACACACGAGAGCAACTCCAACGTGATTATAGGTTGTAGCTCATATGATATATTAAATAGAAAATATTAACGATGAAGCGGCTATAAATTTATTTGTGAATATTAAATTTGAAGAAAAGCTCTCTAATGTATTTTATTCAAAATAGAATTTTACGATAATATGTATTATTTTTTAAAAATTATTTCTAATTAAAATTAAAAAAATAAGTTGAGCGTAGGAGAAGAAGGTGGAAAAAGAAAATAAAATTAATAATAATAAAGAATTAAATAGCTGAGTCACATTGTCTAACAAACCTTCTGAAAATAGAGGATATTGTTCACAGTGTCTGCTTTTTATTTTTTACACGTTAGCTTAACAGATTGAATAGATAGTAACATTGAAAAATATATTATTGTCTATTTTTCTGATTTGACAATTAGATAAGTCATAATACACAGTTCCGTTGGAGTTACTATAAAAGGATGAGTTGACTTGACATTATGGCTAAATTGTATAATTATTTCTTTTTTAAAATTTTATTTTTAGACATGCATACTCTTTTCAAATTGGAGATTATATTGATTAATTAATATATTTCTTTTATTGACTGAGGTTATTTTCCATCTATTTATCTCAATTTTCAAGCCAACCAACAAAGAATGTATCTTCCTTTTGTTTTCTTTTTCCACTTTCTAATCTTGTTGTAAAAGTTATGTGAACGATTGAACCACGCAGTAGCTAATCCTTAATTTTAAATTAACAAAAATCGGTTATATGAATATTTTATTTCTAATATCTTAATAGAATTAATATCAATATAAAATAAAGTATAAATCAAATAAAATTTAAAATACTTTTTGTAAAAAAAGTTTGAAGGGAAAATTTTAAATCATTCCATATAATAATAAACATGATCAAGTATAAAATAGACAACACCAATTAATTAGGATATGCTATACAAATATTAAAAAAATAAACAATATAAAAATTTTGTTATATAACATAACTTTAAATATTTAAAAATGAACACAAAAATGAATTTCTTGGTAGTCATTAAGCTGGGATTTGTACTAAGGTGTGGTCATCTACTCCTAAATTAATTACAACAACCTACTATATTACTATTTAGTACTTTCCTCTTTTCTTTTGGTATTTTTTTTTTTTTCTCTACTTTATTTTTAGAGTCTTAAGTTATGGGTAGTTAAGGCCAACTACCTTTTTATAAGGTCCATTTTATGAAAGTGGGTCAAGCATAAGTCTTTTAATTTTAAAAAATCAACTTTCATGTGCTCCTCATTTCTTGTTGTAAAGACTTGTAGATTATTTTATTTATTAAAATGACATTATTCAAAATAAATAAAAAAAAAAACTCACTAAAAGTTCAAATTTCTTAAACTTAGACTCTACATATCCTTCAAAATAAGCTAATACTTAAATTTCTCATTAAGGTGCAATTATGGCCACCTAATGCAATTAAATAATAATAATATGAAGTCTAGGGTTCAATTTCTATTCTATCACAAAAGAAAGGCCACTAGAAAAAGAAAGATAAATATATTAAAAACTTTTTGAAAAGGAAAAAAAAAAAAAAAAGTGAAATGAGGGATTCCACATTTTTGATAAGAGAGTTGTCGGTTCATATAGTTGAAGTTTACTATAAAGGCATTGCCAAAGAAGGAGAAAAAAAAGGAGCTTTCACGGAGTATTAAGAGTCAAACTTATGATTTTAATGCCATCTACTTGACTATTATGCTAATAATTATGTTGGGTGCCCTATCAATGACATCATATTCCATTAAATTTATTTGAATAAGAAAATAAAAATAATTACTAACACTTATATTTTCTAATATATACATATTTTTCGTATTTGAAGCAGAATAATAAACAAATAAAATATTCTCAATCGTGACAATTTTATATTTTTAATTTTTAATTTATAAATAAAATTTTATCTGAGAGTACAATTCACTTTCAATTATTCAATTGTCTGATAATTTAATTGTCTGACAATAATTACTTATACTTTTGTTGTAAAAATAATTACTAACACTTATATTTTCTAATATATACATATTTTTTTTATTTGAAGCAAAATAATAAACAGATAAAACATTCTCAATCGTGATAATTTTATATTTTTAATTTATAAATAAAATTTTATCTGAGAATACAATTCACTTTCAATTATTCAATTGGCTAACAATAACTACTTATACTTTTGTTGTAAATAATATAGTTTTTATTTTTCAATTAACTTTTTTTTATATATAGGAAATCATTAGATCAACTGGGTATGCTAAATATATAAGTATAAGAAAAATAAAATAGAGTTGTAATATGTATAATTTATTGACATTTTGCTGGAGATTATTATAAAAATTGCCATTTAGAAAAGTAAAAAAGCATTTAAAGACAAAGTTCCTGAATATCAGGAGGTAACTTTTTTATAGTTCCAAATATTTTTCATACAATTTAAGAGTAGTTGGATAAATTAATTTAATTATAATATTTTTTTATTTTTTTATATATAACTTTAAAGATTATATATTAATAATTCTTTGAAACTTTTAAAATATAATAGAATAATTAGTATACCGAGATTTCAAAACTAATTTTTTTGTGGCTATTTTTCTATCTAGTAAATTCAACTAATATTAATTATTTATACGCATTATTATTCCAGGATATTGTGAGAAAGTGAAAAAATATTTCTAAGAATATAAATAGGCCTATTATTTTGAAACACCCATTGGCAATAAAGCTTTTAATTAATTCTCTTTAATAAATATGATATTTTAAGAAATAATTGTTAAAAAACAGTATCTTAATATAAATAAATAGGCCTAATTATTTTGAAAACACCCATTGCAATAAAGCTTTTAATAATTTCTTTAATAAAATATGATATTTAAGAATTAAATTGTTTAAAAAAACAGTAATCTTAATATTAAATAAATAAATAAATATATATATATATAATATATATATATATATATATATATATATATATATAATATATATATATAATGCAGATTATGAGTTTTAAAATTTTACACATTGCAATAACTGAAAAAAAAAAAAAAAAGCATATATAATGCATGATATGAGTTTTAAAAATTTATCACATTGCCATAACTGAAAAAAAAAAAAAGCATCATATGATATTAGGAAAGTAAAAAATTTCAATATAATAATTTAACTATAAATTATAAAAAATTTGATTACAAGCAATAAAAACATGTAAATAATTTAATTACAAGTTTAATGTAATCAATTTGCATTCTTGTTATATTAAATTTAGTATAATATAATTCGTAATATTTTTTAAAAATATTTTTATATATATTTATTGCGACATTAGACTTAGTTATTTTTGTTTTGAATTTAACCCTTTCTTCTATGTATATTCATCTGTATCTATCAAAATCATCACCTATGAATAGGTGAAGTGCAAAAAAACCATAACTATGAATAGTTGAAAAAAGTTGACCACAGCACTTGGCCATTATTTATTTATTTTTTATTATTGGAAAAAGAGATTTTAATACAGATCGTATGTGCACCGACCACTACCACTGACCTATGTTTTAATGTAATCAATTAAAAAAATGATATAAAAGGTAGAAAATGAGGGGAAAGAATAATTAAAGGACATGTTTTGGACAATATTATATTATAGATAGATTTATAAGTCAAAATCATCATATTATAATTTAAGACTTCAAAATTAAGATATTTGACCTTATAAAGAATTGTTTAACAATGAACCAATAATCAATTTCTTTGAAGACTATCAATTCCACTGAAATAAAAATGGCTCGTAGCTCTTTTAATGAACAATAGAGTGTTCACTTGAATTATGACAATGGTGATTTTCTTTTTCTTTTTCTTTTTATTTTCTTCCTTTTACTAAGGAAAGTCAAGGTGGGCCAAGGAAGTTTGGTTCCATGAGCTGATCGAGATTTTTATTTTTTTATTTTTTGGGAACATATAGTTATTTATTTATTAATGTTTAATTTCCTCACTATAATAAAATATATAAAAATATAAATGGAAGTGGAAATTAATAATGAGTTAATAACATATATCATTTTTGTAATAAGGTATATGTTATATGCATGATATTGTTATATGCATATGATTATTAAATATTTAAATTGAAAAAATATTCAGATAAAATTCTTTTAACATTCGATAATTTTAGTAGTCCAGCTTCTAATATTGCAATAAACATTATTTTGAATTATAATCTAATTATTTAAAAGTATTATTTGTTATTTTATAATTATATATAGATGAATGAAAATGGTTCTTCTTTGACGTTGAACTTACACTCTATTGCATGGTTCAAATTGAATCCAAGATTTCGGCTACTATTTTGAAAAATCTTCATTGATTCTTTGGATTTGTGCATTTGATTTTATAATAATAATAATAATTTAATACTAACAATATTTAAGCATATTTAAGAAAAAGTATCTAATTTGTTTTTTATTTACACCACACGAATTATTCTATCCGTTTATATGGACGAAATTAATTTAAATTTTGATAATTTCACATAGAAATATAAGTTGTTTTTCTTAATTAATCCCGTGACCTACTAATTACAAATATAATTTTTAATCGTACAGTAATTAATATTGATATAT